CCAAAGAGCCCTTGCAACAGCCTTTTTGGGTCTTCGAGATGATGTTATTTTGTATGCAATGTTGTTCGATGATCGTATGTAGACAGCCTGTCATGATATTGTATAATGCATTAAGAATTATAATGATTGGCCGGTAATTCCCTGGATGTGTTGTGCCATTGGCTTTTGCTTTTATGTATGTGACTCCCTCACGAAGTCTGTTTGGAGGTTCTTCCGGATTTTTCATTGATAAGTGTCAAGATATTTTCATGCAGATATATGAATCTCTTGAACCATATGTTGTGAAGCCCATCAGGACCAGGGCATTTTCAATTATTCAGCTTATGTATAGTAGCCTGTAAAATGTCCATAGAGATTTAACTAGTTTCCATGTGTCTGATAGCATCAGAAGGATTCGTAATATCACTCATCTATGATGTCCTGTCATGAAAGTGGCCTTCTGTTGACCATATTCCTCCCCAGAATTATTCAACAGCTGACTTCACTGGTAGCTAGACGCTTTGGGTTTCTCCTTTCAATCTCCTATAAAACACTTGCTGGTTTCTACTGAATGTTTGATTATCGTTTTTACGCTTTAAACTCTTTTTATAGCGTCTCAGTCTCTGTTTCAACGTATCAATATATTCCAAGATATACTCATTTTTAGGATTGTACACTGCGTGTTTGCGATACATTCTCATGATTTTTGATGCTTCTTTCTTCATCGGATTGCTTTTATTTCCTCTCAGATATGCTTCCAGGACCGCTATATCTGACCTGAGCTGCTTTATTTTCTTCTCCAGCCTTATCTACCAGGATGGGTTGCACGGTTGTCGGTGCGCTTGCTGTTCTCGACTATCAACAATTTCCCCAACATTTGTTGTGACAGATTCTGAGTCAGTCGCCCATGCGGAACTGTGCCCGCAGCGGGCGTGAAATTCATGTCTGGTTTCCATGCGCCTCAAATTTATTAATATATTATAGTTATGTAGTTTTATAAAGTGAAATTCACGATATGATCTGTCGAATTGAATCAGTTCGATAAAATGGTTATTGTCATTTCTCTTCTAAAGTGTGCGAATTAACCCGATAACTTCTGTCAAGTTCGTGAAAGTGATTTACAGCAAAACTTCAAAAGAGAAAAATATACTTGCAATTACAAAACTTGCGTATTTTTCATACTTCAAGATATTCAAGATGACGGTCGTGTGAATGTAGACGCAAATTTCCCTCTGTATATTTTAAGTATTTTAAACGTACTTCATTATTCCTTTTGTGTTCAAATCAGTTCAGAAGTTTTCTTAATACTTAGTAAATCAGTGATAATAAAAGTAGTATTTAACTTCGAGCAGTTTAAAAAATTTTGCATTGTGTGTATATTCAGAGTGCACAACCGCCACACGTGGACGCCACCTTAACAAAAATCTTTGCTTTATATGTTTGGGTTTTATTACTATATTAGCTTAGTATGCATGTGTTAAGTGTAGTTTTTAGTGTATAAGCATTTAAGTCACTTTATTGCAGACTTCAATTCCCTTTATAGTAATTAGTTGGAACAAGGTGTGGTAAGTAACCAGTGGATGCTTAATATTTAGTGAAGTATACAACATTGTGTTGTGAATATTTCTACGGCACACGAAAATAGATTGTAACCTTAAAACGAAAACATTATAAACTACCCTCTCTAAAACAGCAAACTACACTCTTAGAAATACTTATTAAAAAAAGAAAACTCGTAAATCAAGAGATTAACGTGAAACTTGTATTACACACAAATCAACATGAAAATGGAACAGGCACACTTTGTACTTTCTCAACTCAACGCCTACCTGAAGAAAGCCTACTTACATATTAATTACATTAAAAATGAAATCAGTAGACTGGAGCAGGTCGTACAAAACTTCGGTGGGTGGACTCTCGTAACTAGGAAAAATAGTAAGCCACACATTCCTCGCCACCCACGAACCTCTCAGGCACCACACTGCGCCTCCAGATTCAAAAGGTTCTCGATCCTTTCTGACCTTGTGTCCTTTCAACCTCTTCCCACCAAAGCTATCTTACCACGACAACAAGTAAACAATAGGCACGCGTTTACTAAATGTCTGCCCTCAAAATCTCAACAGAAGCACAGTTCAGAGAGCAAGACTAAAACAACAAATGTCACTCTCTCTCACTCACGTAAAATTTTGATTCTATCTGACAGCCATGGTAGGAACCTTTCCTCCATTGAGAGAAAGATACTCCCGTCAAAGTTCTCAATTACAGGTATTTTTAAGCCTAGTGCCCCGATGGCACGTGTAATTGAGAACTTAAACACTTAAACTAGATCTTTTACACAACAGGACACAGTAGTAATTATAGCTGGGCAGAACGACATTAACTCTGGCCGTCACATTAATGCAGAGGAACTGTTGGCACATTGACCATCAAATTACTTCAAATTTGGCGCCTTGGTTTTCCATAGGGCACCTTTGATGTTCTTTAAAAGCGTTTGAGAGGAAATGATCATACATTTTAAACTTCGCGCTCTCGAGTCTGAATTTTACTTAAACAGCCGCATGAATTTCTTCTCTGTTGATTAAATACTCACTTCTTTCGTACAAACTTCCTTGACGTAGATTGTCAACTTTTTTCTGTTAGTTTAGAGCGTCACCGAAAGATCGCATCTGCTCCTGGGCAGCCCCGCGTAAAATTACCATTGTCAAAATACGGGGACCTCAACGATTTCTACCTCGAACGCCAGCTCGCATTGTCATCAGAGGTGAATCAGAGCTTAGTAAAATCGTGTTGGACGCTTTCAAGGTTTGATTCAGGGTATGCCTTTGGCACTTGGATGCAGTGCATGAAGTAACAACCACGGAATTCCTAAAGAAACGTTAGTCTGGACAAAGGTAACTGTGACAATCTCTTCAATACTCGTTAATTCTTTCTCCAAGTAACAATCCTTGCCAATTGTCGCCTTTTTTCCAGAAGACTTTAATCTGATAAAAACTACTGATGTAAGAAGCGATATTTCGTTGCAGATTCTACTAATTGCTCTCCCTACAATTTATACGAGTAGTTCGCAGCCTCAACACTTAACAAACATACAAAAGACTGCGAAACACACAGATGTAATCATGACCCCTCTTCCCCCTTGTACAACATTCCTATAAACCATGCAATTAAGATTTCAAACCATCATATAAGACAGCACTTGAGAAGGACACCTATCACACTTGTTGATCTTGACAACCTCTCAAGAAAACATTTTACTCGGCATCGTCTCTACATGAATCAGATACGTAAACAAAAACTAGGAGCCATGCTCATCTCGCACCTACTGGGAACCCCTGCCCCTGCCACCCCACATCCCTCTCGCACCAATTCTTCCTCCTCTCCATCCACAACCCTCTTACACATCTTTCACCAGCATCCAGTCCTCACCCCTACCAGTTCCTTAAACTACTCCCACACCTCTCCTGCCCACTCCACTTCTTCCAACCACCTCCTCACCTTTATTTTCCTCTTCAGCCCCTTCACCTACTTCCACACTTCCTACTGCCCGTCCCATCCGTACATATACTTTCGTTGCAACCGCTCCTTTGTATAACCTGTAGCATGAAATATCGGCAGGAAAGCAGACAATACACAAAAATAAGAACTATTTTCACATCCTTCACCAAAATGTAGTCACTGAAAAATAAACTTGAGAAGAAACTCCACCACATTTCAATATTAAGCTTCACAAAACAATGGTACTGAACAATTCTAAAGACCAATTAGATAACACATGTATACCATATTTCTCTCTAGCCAGCAGCATATTAACAACGCACATCACGCATATGGTGGGACATGCATTTTTATTAAAGATACTATTAGTTTTGTACCCTACACCAGCCACACCCATCTTGCCAACGAGAAATACTTTCAAATATCCATCACTGACTTAACTACATGGGTCTTATCGCAGCCCTACTGGGAATTTGAAAATCTTTTAAAAAATCTGGAAGTTATTCGAACAAAACTTCAAAATCGCAGACAATATAAAATCATTCTTTGCGGTCACTTCAATATAAATTGCATCAAACAATTCAGTAATGAAAATCTATTTAAAGATCTACTAAAATCATACAACTTACAAACAACCACAAATACACCAACCCGAATATCCAAAAATAGTAGCACTGCTGTAGATAAAATAATAATAGATGCAAATACCCATTGTTTTGCACTTACAAAAAACATGCAACTTCCGTAACTATTCCCAAGAAAATATAAAATTTCTAAAATTACTAAAATTCGAAAACAGGAATTAAGTACATAAGGCAACTGATACAAATGATAAGTTTAAGTCATTCATAAATATGTACTTAAGACATTTCAATGCCATTTTTCCTCAAAAACGCAAAAAGATCCAAAATAAGAAAAATAAATCGTGGATTACCACAGGCACCAAAGTGTCACGTGAAAAAAAACGCAACTTGTATAAAACACTAACAAATAACAAATGTAACTCAAACTTCATTTCATATTACCAAACATATAATTCGATCGTAAAAAAAGTAATCAAACAAGCAAAATATTATGACAAATGATAAGTACATTGCAAATGCACGTAATAAAGCATAAGCTATGTGAGACATTATTAAAAAGATAACAGCACCAACTAATAATAATAGAAAAAATATAGACCTCCACTACAAAAATCAAACTGAACGAGACCCACAAGAAATAGCTAATATATTCAATGTACACTTTTTACAAATTAGTAAAATGTTAATCTCTCAACACTCTCTAAACAATAAAAAACACCATCCAAACACTAATGTTACACAAATTGTAAATTCCATATTTTTATATGCAACCATCCTCTCTGAAATTTTTAAAGTCATTGGAGAATACATTCTCAGCAGGCCTGGACAATATTCCAAATTCCTATAATATTCCAAGGACTATTATTAACAATCATTTTAGGAATTTATATCACCATTCTTCAAGCATATGAATATATTGAAGCACCATTTACCGTTGCAGATTCTGTTTGTGGATCATCATTCTTTATAGCAACAGGATTCCATGGACTCCATGTTATTATTGGAACAACATTTCTTTCAGTATGTTTAATACGACATATAATAATTCATTTTTCATCTAATCACCACTTCGGATTTGAAGCAGCAGCGTGATATTGACATTTTATAGATATTGTATGATTATTCTTATATATTTCAATCTACTGATAAGGTAGTTAACTTATTTAGTATATTTAGTATATTTAACTTCCAATTAAAAGGATTGACTATCAAAATAAGTAATCTTAATCACCTCAATCATTATTATATTTACTTTAATTCTCACAATCATTTTAATATCACTATAAATAATTTTATCAAAAAAACCATACTAGACCAGAAAAAATTTCACCATTTGAATGTGGATTTGATCCAAAAAGATCCGCATGCTTACCATTCTCACTACGATTCTTCTTAATTGCAATTATTTTCTTAATTTTCGACGTAGAAATCGCCTTAATTATACCTACAGTAATTATCCAACTTTCATCAAACCCATTACAATGATTATTTACATTAATATTCTTCATTATCATTCTACTCATAGGATTATATCATGAATGAAACCAAGGCGCCTTACAATGAGCCAAATAGGGATTATAGTTAAATATAACATTTGGGTTGCATTCAAAAAGTATTGATTATTCAATTAATCTCAATTAAGAAGCAATTATGCATTCAGTTTCGACCTGAAAGAAAGATTATCTAATCCTTAATTATTCATAAATATTTAAACATTTTCTGTATAATGAAAATATACCGTTTTATTATAAACTATATAAATTAGAAATTACAACGGAATTTAACCGCTGAAAAGAAAAGTTAGCAGCTCACTTTTGTACTACATATTTCCTTAATTGGAATATCTATAATTCAATGATATTATTAACAATAATACACCTCTTTTTGGTTTCAATTCATTATAATACCTAAAGATTTAATATCTCCATAACATCTTCAATGTTATACTCTACATATAAGCTATTTAAGTTAAAAAATTATCCCCACAAATCAAAACAATAACAAAAATAAATATTCAAACCATAAAACTTAATAAATAATACTCAAAATAATTAAATTGATACTCCTGATTTAATACTCTTATCTTATAAAAAAATATAAATAACCCTTGACCTCCAAATTCCTCTCTTCAACCATGATCTACCACACGAGCAATTCTTAAACCCGCATATAAAGGATATGATCTAATTATGTACGTTGATATATAAGGCATAAATCACATTGACCCCAAAAAACCAACAAAATAACAATTTTTAAAGCTAAATCTACAATAATATGTCAATATTGATAATTCAAAACCAATTCAACCACCAATAAAACTAACAACCAACGCCAAAATCCTCATATAAAATGGTAAAAATATTAAATAAGGAGTATTAAATATTAATCAAGATAATAATGAACCACCAAATACAGACATCAATACTAATATAAACATAGGACCAATAAACCCATAACTCTCATCACCCAAACAATGCAATCTTTTAAAATTAAATTCACCCACCATTACATAATGAAGCAACCGAAAAGTATAACAAACAGTTAATCCAGTAGAAAGAAAAAACAACAAAAAATTAATAAATTAAAATTTTTTATTAATCTTAACTCTAAAATTAAATTCTTTGAATAAAAACCAGATAAAAAAGGCATACCACATAAAGCCAAATTTGAAACTATAAAACAAATAGAAGTTAAAGGTATCTGATACACAATTCCACCCATTCCCCGAATATCTTGAAGATCATTTATCCCATGAATAATAACGCCCGCACACATAAATAATAAGGCCTTAAATAATGCTTGAGTTAATAAATGAAAAAAAGCCAAATCATAATAACCTAATCCAATAGTTCTTATGATTAGACCTAATTGACTTAAAGTAGATAAAGCAATAATCTTCTTCAAATCAAATTCAAAATTAGCAACTGAACAAAATATAAATATAGTGAAACAACCAATAAATAATATAAAATCATTCATTGAATACATTTCAATAATTATCCCAAATCGAATAAGCAAATATACCCCAGCCGTAACCAAAGTAGATGAATGAACTAAAGCAGAAACAGGTGTACGAGCAGCTATAGCTGCCGGAAGCCAAGAAGAAAAAGGAATCTGAGCTCTTTTAGTCATAGCTGCTAAAATAACTAAAACAATTAAATATCATATCTCAACATCCAAATTCCCAAAATTATTTACCCATAAATAATATAACTACCATATCCTAGTATCCAAGCAATAGATAATAATAACGCCACATCACCAATACGGTTAGATAAAGCTTTAATCATACCAGCATTATAAGATTTTACATTCTGAAAATAAAATTCTAAACAAGAGGAAACTAATCCTAAACCATCTCATTCTAACAAAATTCTAATTAAATTAGGACTAATAATTAAAAACATCATAGATAATTCAAATATTAATACCAAAATAATAAAACGAGATAAATTATAATCACCTATCATATATCTATCTCTATAATAAATCACTAAAGAAGAAATATACATTACAAATCTCATAAATAATAATGATTTATAATCTAAAAGAATTCTTATAATAACATTACAAGAATTTAAAGTTACAATATTCCAATCCAAAAAAATCACACATTCATTAATACAAACAACCAACCCAAAAAAACATTATTATTGATATCGAAAATAAAACAACAAAAGACAATTTAGAAATAAAATTATTATAGTTAATAGCCTAATATATTAATTATCATGTCTTTGATTCCACCAATCAACATTCTTATTAAACTAATAAAGCTAAATACAACTAAAAAATAATCCCCACGTAAAAGTAAAATATTTAAAGGAAATCAATGCAAAAATAACAACAAATATTCACGAAAATATCCATTCACATAACTAAATGACCCAGAAAAATTTATTCCATGTTGACTATAAAAAACAAAAATAATCTATAAGCAGCTCCAAAAAAAGATATTAAAGCAATTAAAAACATTCCTAATCAATTTCATGATATAATTCTATTAATTAATCTACTTTCCGCTAATAAGTTTAAAGAAGGACAAGCTGCCATATTAGATGATCTTAATAAAAATCATCATAATGTTATTCCAGGTATTAAACATATTAATCCCTTATTAATAATTAATCTACGACTTCCCAATCGCTCATAAACAATATTTGATAAAAAAATAAACTAGAAGAACAGAATCCATGTCCAATTATTATTAAATAACAACCACAAAAATCTCAAGAATTTAGGGTCATTAAACCACCTAAAACTATTCCTATATGTACAACAGATGAATAAGCAATTAATGATTTCAAATCCACCTGACGTAAAGATACCAACCCTATTAAAAAGTCTCCAATTAATCTAATACCAATTCAAACAAAATTATATTTTAAACAACAAAATACCATAATTCTAAATTCGCATTAATCCATAACCACCCAACTTGAATAAAACACCTGCCAACACTATAGAACCAGAAATAGGTGCCTCAACATGAGCCTTAGGTAATCATAAATGAACCATAAATATAGGCATCTTAACTAAAAACGCAATAATTATACATAAATATACATATATATTACTAACCTCATCACCCCAAAATCCATATAAATGTAAAGTTCCATTCACCTTATAAAAATTTAATAAACCAATTAATAAAGGTAAAGAAGCTAGCAATGTATAAAATAACAAATTAATACCAGCCTGAACACGTTCGGGCTGGTAACCCCATCCTAAAATTAAAAATAACGTAGGAATTAAACTACCTTCAAAAAAATATAAAAAGATAATATATCAGTTCTCGAAAAAGCACATATTAATATTAATATTAAAAAAATAATTATAAAAACAAACAAATTTCTATAATAATTATATTGATAAATAGAAACTCTTGCTATAATTATTAATCCACAAATTCAAAATCTTAATAAAATTAAACCATAAGATAATAAATCATACCCTAGTATATACCTTAAACCTTCAATATTTCCACTCAAATTAATAGATACTATAAATAAAAAAGCTATCAAAAAAATATAAACTGAACCATTCATCAAAATATTCTATTTAAAAAAAGTGGAATCATAAACAAGAATATTATAATAAATTTTAACATCGTAATACCATAAAAGACTGAAAAAAGTCATTCCCATGAGAACGTACCATAGAAATCAAAATACCAAGTCCTAAAGAACCTTCACAAACCGCAAATACCAAATAAATTATTGAAAAATATAACTCATTCTGAAATTCTCCCAACCAAAACATTAATAAAAAAAGTAAATAATACCATATATTCTAAACTTAACAAAATAATTAACATTGCTTCCGCTTAGAACAATATATCTAAATACCACTAAAATAACAAAACATTACCACTAATAAACAAAAAAATGCAAACATTAAGTTTTAATAGTTTAATATAAAACATTGGTCTTCTAAACCAAAGTTAAGAACATCTTTTAAAACTTCAGAGAAAGATAAATTCATCTATCACCAATCCGCAAAACTAGTATTTTAATTAAACTATTCTCTGATATTTTTATACTTACATTTACTATATTAATATTAATAATCAACACCTTTTTCATTATAATAAATCACCCTCTAGCTATTACCCTTCTTATTATTATCCAAACAATAATAATTTGTGTTACAACAGGATCAATCTCCCACTCATTTTGATTCTCTTATATTCTATTTTTAAATTTCCTAGGAGGTATATTAGAATTATTTATTTACATTACAAGATTAGCTTCAAATGAAATATTTCAATTACCTGCTAAAACCATATTTATTAATTTCGCAATATCTACCATTACATTCTTCATCATAAATTATATATATAATCATATATTATCATTTCATATATATAAAAACGACTCCTTCATAGATAAAATTATCAATATTACAATAGAAAATAATAACTTAAATCAATTACACAATTATCCAAATTTCATTTTAACAATCATTACAATTACATACTTATTAATTACATTCATTATCATCGTAAAAATTACATCTTTCCAGGAAGGACCATTACGACATTCAAATTCATAACTAATGAATACACCCCTACGAACACATCACCCATTATTAAAAATTATGAATAGATCATTGATTGATTTACCAACCCCATCTAACATTTCAACATGATGAAACTTCGAATCACTACTAGGATTGTGTTTAATTATTCAAATCATAACAGGAATTTTCTTAGCTATACACTATACCGCTGACATTAATATAGCATTTAATAGTAAGTCACATCTGCCGAGACGTAAATTTCGGTTGACTCTTACGAACAATACATGCTAATGGAGCACCATTTTTCTTCATTTGTCTTTATACTCATGTTGGACGTGGAATATATTATGGATCTTACAATTCACTTGAATAACAGGAACTCTAATTTTATTCCTAGTTATAGCTGCAGCTTTTGTAGGATATGTATTACCATGAGGACAAATATCATTTTGAAGAGCCACTGTAATTACTAACCTTTTATCAGCAATTCCCTATTTAGGGACTGATTTAGTTCAATGAGTATGAGGAGGATTCGCAGTTGATAATGCTACACTAACTCGATTTTTTACATTTCATTTCATAATTCCATTTATTGTTGCAGCATTCGTAATAATTCATTTACTTTTCCTCCACTAAACAGGATCTAGTAATCCAATAGGAATTAATAGAAATCTAGATAAAATTCTATTTCATCCATATTTCACCATTAAGGAGATCATAGGATTTTTAATCATATTAATATCATTAACTATCTTATCACTTACAAATCCATATTTATCAGGAGATCCAGAAAATTTCACTCCCGCTAATCCTTTGGTTACACCAGTTCATATTCAACCAGTATGATATTTCCTTTTCGCTTACGCCATTTTACGATCAATTCCCAATAAAAAGGGGAGGAGAAATAGCTCTAATTGCATCTATTGCTATTTTTTATTACCTTTCATATCTAATAATAAATTTCGAAGAATACAATTCTACCCAATTAATCAAATACTATTCTGAACTTATACATCAATTGTAATTTTATTAACTTAATTGGTGCCCGACCAGTTGAAGAACCATATATCTTAACAGGACAAATTTTAACCATCAGATATTTTATATACTTTATTATCAACCCCATAATGTTCAAATTATGAGATCAATTAATTAACTAAGTTAATAAGATTAAAGCATTTGTTTTGAAAAAAAAAGATAGAATTTATATTCTATTAACTTTTAATTTCCTAAAATGTCTCAATAAATCATATTATTCATTCAAAATGAAAAACAACAACAAAAATCAAATAATTTAAAGAAACAGGTAAATAAATCCTTCAAGCCAAATACATCAATTTATAATAACGAAAACGAGGTAAAGTACCTCGAATCCAAATAAAAACAAATGATATAAAAACCAAAATAAAATAATAAAGAAAATAAATCACCACCAAAAAAATTAAAATAGTTAATATTCTCATAAAAAAATTCTTGAATATTCAGCCATAAAAATCAATGCAAATCCACCTCTTCTATACTCAACATTAAAACCCGATCCCAATTCTGATTCACCTTCAGAAAAATCAAAAGGAGTACGATTAGTTTCAGCTAAACAAGAAGAAAATCAACAAAAAATAAAAGAATACTAACAAAAAAACCAAACATATAACTGATGAACAAGAAATAAATTAATCCCAAAACCACCTACCAAAATAATAAATCTTAATAAAATCAACGCTATACTAACTTCATAAGAAATAGTTTGAGCTACAGCTCGTAAACCACCCAATAATGCATAATTAGAATTAGATGATCGACCTGCCAACATCATAGAATAGAACTCATACTAGTACAACAAAAAAAAAACAATAATGCCAAATCAAAAGAAACCAATTCATATTCTAAAGGATAAATTAATCATACCAAAAGAAATAAAAACAATCTAACCAATGGAAAAAATACATTAAATAATTAGACATCATAGGATAAGTTTGTTCCCTACAAAATAACTTAATAGCATCAGCAAAAGGGGTTGAGAATTCCTATCATACCCACCTTATTAGGACCTTTACGCGATCTGAATATAACCCAAACCTTACGCTCTAATAAAGTAAAAAGCAGAACACCAACAATACAAAAATTACTAATACACACATAACAAATTAACCTATTATACAATTAACAATACTATATGTAATTTATTACATTCATGAATTCTAAATTCATTGCACTTTATTCTGCAAAATAGAAATTAATAAATTCAAACAATAAATTATTTAATGATTTATTTTTTTCGGTACTGTCAATAAGAGTTTTTCTGTCGTAAAATTGACGCTTTTAAATATACTGGAGGTGCATCCAGAAAGAAGTTCGATCGCGTCTAGAGTAGGCGTGAGTAGTCGGAGAGGAATGCATATTTGGGCAGGAGCAGAGAGAAGGTATGCGTAATTAACTCAGTGCAGTTTTAGACTTTTGTAACGGCAGTGGTTACCGCGCAGTATTATGATAAATGCCTGCTCTGATATTTTCTTCGCCAACTGCGAGGTTTCGTGCAGTTCATCTGATTATTACACGTTTAGAAGCAATCTCCAGTAGAGTTCTTCGCCAATTATGCCGCCGTGTATGGACACTCCTTTATGAGCAACAGTATGATGCAAGCAATTCACTGAAGGGCGAACCAATATTCATGACGAAGTCAGTGGACCGCCTTTGATGTCACAAAACAGATGAAAATATGCGCAAGCAATTTTGCAGAATCGGCGCCTCACAATTTTTGAATTCTCTTGTCAATTCAGAGCCGCTCGCTGTTGCGTAAAATTTCTCCCGGTGACTTCGTTTCCATAAAGATGGGTGCTAAGGAAAACTGACAGACGACAACAAAAGGAAACGCCTGGCTGCAGCATTGACATTCCAACTGCTCTACGCAGAAAAATGTAACGAGTTTCTTGACCGTGTTGTCACTGGAATGCAATAGTGGTGTCACATGTCACACCCGGAAACAAAACAACATACATTCCATACATTTGCAGCATAATAGCTGACCATATTCAAGTTGTTCTCTGTAAAGAAATCATGTGAACTGTTTTATGGGATCAACGTGCAGTATTTACTCAAGGGGAGGCAAGAAACGCGGTAAAATTCTAACAATTTTCAAACATTTGACGCACAATATAAATAGGAGGCATTAGTTTTATGAAAAGAAACAGTGTATTTATTTCAGAAGTACAATTTTATTGGCTGAGTCACAAGACGAAACTGCTATTTCTATTTTTTATTCAAAGAATAAAAAAAAAACCCCCCGGGTTGAGGTAGCAACATGGCAAACATTATTTAAACTCTCTGCCTTTTCTCAAAACTCTTACGCTATTCACTACACCATCGGTACACTGACGGTCAAGGATAGAACCATTACAATAAAAAATAGTACATTTTTTAGTGAATTCCTGAGCTCCTCGCTTCACGCTGCTATGAATAGTCACTTTAGTGACGGGCAATGGTGACGAGCGAGGGAGGCCATTGGTGAGATTTTCCAACATAGTTGAGCCCATGCCTATCTCGCGTCGTTATACCACGGCACGGCACGGCACGGCACGCACGGCACGGCAGCAGCTCACCTCATCCAGCCACACCGCATAGCACCACCTCGCCTGGCCGCCGTCTCTTCATCCCTCCGAAATGCCTCTCATTTCGCACACACCACAACTACCCGTGTCGGACCCAGGCAGGGGCGCCGCAGGGGTGGGGCGACGGGGCGCCCAAGTCGACCTTCCTTGCAGTGACCGACGGGTATCTTCTTCTTTAGCGGTAGAGCGAAAAATGACTTTGAGGCAGCCAGTGGGGAAAAAATTGCTGTGGGACGCGCAAATTCGTATCTGACCTCTGGTATCCATTGCAGACACCATGGAGCGTGCCCAAACTGGAGGGCAATTAATAGCTCATAAAGAATCGCCCTGCCGGCGGGAAAATAATAGTCATCAGTCTGCATCGGCACAAATGTGTTAACAAGAGGAGACGGTCACTACGATCGGCTTGTCAGACGTTGAAAAATCTGAGGAGACCGATCCAGAACAAGAGACGTGGATGGTGACATTACGCTTGTGCATGACAGTGCAAGACCTCGAAATATGTTGAATCCATTTCGATGAGAGGACTTCGACCATCCACCCTACAGCCCTGACTCGCACTAAGTAAACTTTCCTCTCTTTCAAACTTTCCTCTCTTCCTTTGTGACAGAAAACAATACAATACAAATGAGGGAATCGTTACGATAATGTATAACAGTAGTGGTGCAATGATAGATGGTATCCAGTAAATCTATGAAATTATTCAATAGAAATTGATTACGCAGTAGTGTCTTCTTTTATTTATCAAACATCAGAATCTCCTTTCTGGATGCACCTCTTATTATTCTTGTATTAGTTGGAGTATGAGAAAAGTCATAAATAGAATCAGCTTTGAACCGTTTACTTTCATACCTGGCCTAGTGGAAGGTGAAACGAATTCCTAGAAAAATGGAGGCTCCGCAATTTGAAAGACGATTCATATACGAGCACCTGAAATCTTATTCAATCTAAATGCAAACCCAGTAGGCGGCAGGAGGCGTCAGTTGCTCACTTTCACACCAGACCGCTGCAACAAAAGATCCCACGGCCACCTGGAGCGCGACTTTTCCCGTTGGCTTGCCGCCCGCCGCCATCCCCCCCCCACCGCTCCCGCCCCGCCCGCCCCGGTGCGAAATGAATCTCCCCGGTCAGCCCCCGCCTGGCGGATGAAAAGCGCCAAGCGATTGAGGAAGGCCGGCGGCGCAGCCGCCGGCGTGTCGGTGCCACCGAAGCAAAAAGGCTGACGGCCGAGCGCCAGCGCAGCCCTTACTTTCGACCCCCGGGAGCAGAGCACGCCACGACGCTGGCTGCAGAGATTCGGCTGTGACTTTTCTGCTTAACTTTTTCACGGCCCGAGGCTCTTCCGAGGCGACGATCAACGAGCTCCTCTCTTTCTTTTCAGTCTGTTTATGAGAATATCTCTCTCTGG